CCCGGCCAAAAAAAAAAAAAAAATTAACCTAACTAAAAAGAGGTTGGGACTTTGTCCTCAGCATCTGAGAGCTAATCTCTAGGATCCTGAAGTGTCATACCTAAGGAGAGTGTCCTGGATGCCTTGAGGGCAAACACTGGATCACTCTGCATGGTGAAACAATATAATTTGCAGTTGTGGCTGGCAGATTCTTTGGGGATTGAGGGTAAGAGATGCTCCTTTCCATGTCAGAAATAACATCAATGTGATTTAAGGTGGAGTTTTAGGTCACAGAGAATTAGTGGACTGGGAGACTGATTAATCACGTAGAAATTAATGAACCAATAATGGTTCCATAATGGAGACCTAATAATTACTCTGGATCCCAGCAGTCAGGTGAGTTTCTGTGACTGGCAGTTACTTTGAGTCTAAGACATACTTTAATCCTGGGAATGTGACACATCCTACTCTACCAGGAGACTACAATAGAAGGTCCCCATTTGGTTCTTCTCATCTGGACTCTGTCTTACTTGGTTTTTCTCTAAGTATAATATATATCTCTTCACTGTAAAAATCAGTCACTCTGAGAATAAAAGTATTCAGTGAGTTCTGAGAGTTTAGAAAATTACTGAATGTGAAGGTAGTTTTGAAAACCTCCCAAATTTGGTGTGAAGTGAGAGCAGTTCTCTATAAAATCTCAGTAAATTTTGTAGTTGGTTGAACTCTTCACAATGTTAAACATCAAACACCTCATAGTGTTTGTATGTACACATTCAAAGTGTTCCTGCACAAGAATTTTGCACAGCATGTATAAAATACTTAATCTTATTTTTCTATTTTGATATGGACAGTAACTTGGTTATCTGAAAGAATACAGGGACAGACAGCTGCAGTTTTGAGGGGAATCTGAAAGGCTGTCCTTCCAGGGGTCTTCAAAGGGGGATGCTTCTGAGCAGACAATCAAAGATGTAAAGAATCACTTGAAATGAAAAGAAAGCCTATGATGCAGATAAATAGTTACTTTATAACTTTTTTATATTGAAGACTATACATTAGCAAGCTATGAAATACATTTAAACTCTACAATAAACATTTACAAAAAACTAGAATGTAAATTATCACAGCATCATGACAAGCAGGAAAGTGGTCCTTACATAAAGTGCCTACTAGAGTCACTCATACAC